TGGTGCCCAGGAGACTGTATGAGGTGCCAGGGGTTGAACCCAGGTTGACTATGTGCAACCAACACGCTCCCCTGCCCCCCCCCCAAATATACACAGACACTCTTAGCTGAAATCGCTTCTCTGACCTGACCAAATCCAGTTTCTCTCTCTCTCTCTCTCTGGGTGATGCTCATTGCTTTCTATTTTGTAGCATTGCTATTTTGTAACCCTAAAGATCCTTTAAAGTCTTTGATGGGCTTTTTTATGTAGGATAGCACCTGGGACTCAACTTTGTTTCCACATTATTGTCTAACCGAGCTCAGAGAGGCCAGGACTTTTTTTTTTCTTTTCAGTAGCAGTAGTTAAAAAAATGACAATCAAAAATTCAAATCTCAGGCTGGAGAGCTAGCACAGGGGTGGCAGTGAGTGCTGCAGTTCTGCTACCACGTGGTCCCCTGGGCATTGCCTGGAAGAGCCTTACAGGTCCCTGAGCACCATCGTTGTGGCCCAGGAGACTCTCTAACATGGCAGAATGGCCCGGGTAATCCCTGGCACCATCCAGCCAGGGCAACGCTGCAGGGCCTGAGTGGTACCTCATCCTTAGGCCCTAGCACAAAACTTGAACTGCCAGCCTGGTTGGCCAGAATTGCTAGGAGGCCCCCAACCTCCTGAAAATCACAACTGAACAAGTAAGACCAGTTATGATTTGTGTGTGTGTTTGTGAGGAGGTGTAGGAACACTAGGAGGAGGTTGGGGAACACTCCCCAATGATGCTCAAGAGGCCTGAGAACCCTTCCAGTGATTCTAGCCAAACTGCATGTGATTCAAGTGCAGTGCCAGGGTCTGAGGATGGGGTGCTTCTTTGGCCCTGGGGTACCAGGGATCCGATGAGCCACCCCAGCACTGCTAGGAGGCCTACAGGGCCACAGCCACAGTGATTCAGACCCTCCAGAGTTGCACCCAGCAATGCTCACAGAACCATGTGGTACCAGGGATCAAACCTGGATCTGGTGCATGCAAGACCTGTGCTTTGGTCTATCTCTGTCGAATATTTAATCAAATCATGTTTTCCTGAACGATATCTTCTTTTGAATTTTGTACTCATTAAAAACTAATATGAAAGGAGTAATATTCTTCAAACCTTGTGAATCTTCCACTTCGTGTTTCTTTTTTTAATTTTTTTCCTGCTTTTTGGGTTGGTTGGGCTGGAGCGATAGCACAGCAGGTAGGGTGTTTGCCTTGCACGCAGCCAACACGGCCTACCTGAGTTTGATTCCACCGCCCCTCTCGGAGAGCCCGGCAAGCTCCCAAAGTATCTTGCCTGCACTGCAAAGCCTGGCAAGCTACCCGTGACGTATTCAATATGCCAAACACAGTAACAACAAAGTCTCACAATGGAGATGTTACTGGGCTCGCTCAAGAAAATTGATGAACGGGAGGACAGTGACAATGACAATTTGGGTTGGTCATATCCAGTGATGCTCAGGGGTCACTCCTGGCTCTGCACTCAGAAATTACTCCTGGCAGTGCTCAGGGATGCCGGGGATTGAATCCAGGTCCGCTGTATGCAAGGCAAATGCCCTCCCCCTCTACTATTGCTCCAACCCCTTTTCTTTTCTTTCCTTTTTGGTTTTGAGCTACACCCAGTAGTTCTCAGGAATTACTCCCGTTGGGGCTTGGAGCACCATATAGAACTTGGGGTTCCAGGGTTTGCAGCTGTGCACAAGGCAAGTTCCCTACCCACTGGAGTATCTTTGACCACACATCTCTCTTTGACCACAAATGTCTCATGTCGATGTGTTCAATCGCAGCATTTGACTATTTGCCTTTTTTTTTTTTTTTTTGCTTTTTGGGTCACACCCAGCGATGCACAGGGGTTACTCCTGGTTCGTGCACTCAGGGGTTACTCCTGGCCGTGCTCAGGGTCCATATGGGATGCTGGGAATCGAACCCAGGTTGGCCGCATGCAAGGCAAACGCCCTACCTGCTGTGCTATCGCTCCAGCCCCTGACTATTCACTATTGATGAACATTTATTCACTAGAGAAGTTGATAGCTTTCTGTTTGGATATTCCTATCAAAAGGCCTCTTTAGGGGCCAGAAAGATAGATCCATGTGCGTGCTATGTGCTTTGCATGTTGGAGCTTTGGGTCTGATTCTTAGCACAACCCGGTCCCCTGGGGGGCCATATGGGATGTTCGGGGATTGAACCTGGATCTGCTATATGCAAAGCCAGTGCCTACCTGATGTATGATCCCTCCACCCTCAGGATGCTCATTTTTTTGTTGTCAGCTGCATCAAAGCAGGTGCCTTATATTTTGTAACTTTTTCTCTAGTCCTCTAATCCTTTCGTAAATTCAGAAAAGCAGACCCCGAAGAACTGTTCTGATGCACCTTAAATACCCAAAGATGGAGGTTTGTCTACCTTCTCTCCTGTTTTAAAGTATCTGATTTTACTTTTTACTTTTTATTTTTGGGCCACATCCAACAATGCTCAGTGCTCCCTCCTGACTCTGTGCTCAGGATCACTCCTGGCAGGTCTGGAGACTAGTAGGAGGTGCTGGGGATTGAATCCAGAACAGTTATGTGCAAGGCACTCACTGTCCTATATCTTCAGCCCCCAAGTGTCAGATTTTCTTTATGACTTTAGTTAAAAATTGTTTGAACATATAGAGAAGTTGAAATATTGCACCATAAACTAACATGGTGCCAAAGATGCTTTATTACAAATTTATCATTTTTTTTGAAGGTTTGAAGGGGGCCACACTCAGCAGTGCTCAGAGTTTACTCCTGGTTCTGTGCTCAGGGATCACTCCTGGCAGGACTCAGGGAACCATATGGGATGCCAAGGATTGAACCCGGGTCAGCTGTGTGCAAGGCAAGCACCCTACCTGCTGTCCTATCTCTCCAACCCTACAAGTCTATCTTATTATCCATTTCTCAGAGCAGCTCTGTGTCCCATTTGGGGTGGAACATGCAGAGTAACTGAGTCCTAAAGTCCTGGGAGAGACAAAACCGTGGACTTGTTTTATTGGACTGCTTGGCTATGGCAGGATATTCAAAATGTGTTGAATCAAGTCAGGAGAATTGGGGCTGGCTGGAGATAGTCCCATAGAGTTGTCTCTGCCTTCTTTCCCATACGTCCGCTCTGGCAGTGATTTCTGAGCACAGGGTCAAGAATAAGTCCTGAGCACCTCTGGGTATGACTCAAAAATTAAACAAAACATCAGTATTATCATCTGCCATGGTATGAGCCAGGTGAAGGCGAGAGATATTTAGGGTATCTGTGTATCTAAGTATGGTGCTTAGGGTACACACCTTGCACATGCTTTCCTGGTTTTAATCCTGGCACTGCATGGCCTTCCAAGCCTCCATGGGCACCTCCAGGGGGGCCCTGAAGGTCCCTAACACCACAGAGCCTGAGCAGCACCACATTCTCTGGCCCTTGTGTGAACCACTGGCCCAGTCTTCCAAGAATCGCTGATCACAGTTGGGAGAAGACCCCAGCCCCAATAAATAAATAAAATTAGAACTATATTTTTAAAATTAACTTAGTACAGTAGGTAAGGCTCATGCCTTGCATGTGGCCAATCTGGTTTTAATTCCCAGCATTCTATATGGCCCCTTGAGTTCACCAGGAGTGATTCCTGAGTAAACAGTCAGGAGTAACTCCTGAGTACTGCTGGGTGTGGCAGAAAATAAAAAATAAAATTAACTTAGCTGACAGGAATAGAGGAATATAGTTCAATTGTAGACTACATGTATTCCTGCTTGAGGCCTAGTGTTCAGTCCCTGACACAAAAATTAATATACAAAATATTGAGATAGCTCAAAGGGCTGGACGCCCGGATGCATACTTTGAATACTGAACAGTGGGATTCGATTCCCAGCAGGACAAGTTCCTTTAGGCACTGCTGGGAGTGACCCACAGTATCACACTGGGACGAGGCCTAAAAGACTATTGGGTATGACTATGAAATTAAGAGGAAATGATATTAAAGAGAAGAACTCAGTTGGAGGGGCTGGAGCAAGAGCACAGCAGGTAGGGCATTTGCTTTGTACCAGGCTGATTGGGGTTCCACCCCCAACATCCCATATGGTCCCTTGAGCACTGCCAGGAGTGATTCCTGAGCTCAGAATCAGGAGTGACTTCTGAGCACTGCTTGCTGTGGTTCCCAAACCAAACAACCAACCCATCAAAAAAAAAAAAAAACAAACACACAAAAAAACAAAACCCCAAAACTAAGTTGAATTATTAACAAAAGCAATGACAGTCCCTACATTATAGAGTTGTGAAGGAAATATATGTGCCTGAGACGTCAATTAACTTCAGTTGCTAAACTATAATTAACTCCTTGATGAGTTTCCTAAAATTCCCGCAAATTAACATAGCATTAACATACGTCACAGTGGCAGTTGTTGTACAAGACTGAGGCAAGTCAATGAAAAGTTGATTTTTGACAAGCCGAAAACGGGATTCAGAGACAAGCAGAGGAGAGCGATCCTGCACATCCTCCCAAACAATCCAATATATATGATTGAAAATAAATTTTAATTTGAAAATAAATTGGAAAACAAAATTCACGTTCTTCTCGTTAAACGCTCCCCCAACACCACATTATCTGGCCTTGGCCTCCAACTTCCCTTCTCCTCCCTCACTTTAGCCTTTAGACACAAGCCAGGGGGTTTCCGAGCTGGGTCCAGCGCTTGACCGCCAGGGTCCAGGAAAAGACTCTTGGTCGTCACAAACGATTGGACGAAGCGCGTGGGGGCGGGGCGATCGGAAGGCGGTGATAAAGGGGTGGGGCTACACGGGAAGAAGGCGGAGCAATTGGGCGGTCGGGGGCGGGTCTACACGAGGAGGGCGGAGTAATTGGTCGACCAGGGGCGGGATAACACGGGGAGGGCGGAGCAATAGGCGGTCGGGGGCGGGGCGGGGCGGAGTCGGCCGGAAGCGGGGGCGGCGGCTCAGGAAGTGACGCCCCCCCCCCCCCCAGCCCCTTCTGAAGTCTGGTGCGTCGAGTGCGCTTGGTGTGTGCAGCCGCCGCGGCCGGGTCGGGGGCCATGGAGAACGGAACCGTGTACAGCCCCACCACGGAGGAGAACCCGAGCCCAGGCAGGGCCCCCCGGAGAGGCCTGGGCGCCTGCTGCTCCCTGCACCGGCTCTCGCGGCCCCAGCGCGCCTTCAAACTCGCTGAGCTGGTGAGTGGGCGGGGAGGCTGCGGGGCGCGCAGGAAGCGGCCCTTTCCCCCACCCCGGGGTTCCTCCTTCCCTCCCCGCGAGGCCCCCCGGGAGCCTGGGCTGTTGTGGTGGCCCCGCGCGCCCACCCCGCCCGGTCCGGGGTGCCTCCTTCCCTCCCTCGAGACCCCAGGGACTGGGCCGTCGTCGTGGCCCCGTGCGCCCACCCCACCCCACCCCACCCCACCCCGCCCAGGCCGGGGGTTCCTCCTTCCCTCCGGGGAGGCTTCCTGTGAACTAGGCTGTCGTCGTGGCCCCTTGCGCCCACCCTGCCCGGGCCCGGGTTCTTCCTCCCCTCCCGCGAGGGCCCCCGGGGTGTTGGGCTGTCGTCGTGGTCCCGCGCGCCTACCCTGGGACTGGACGGTCGTGGCCTTGCGCGCCCACCCTGCGTGGGCCCCGGTTCCTCCTTCCCTCCTGCGAGCCTCCCGGGGGCCTGGGCTATCTTCGTGGCCCCTCGCGCCCACCGTGGGACTGGACTGTCTTGGCCCCGCGCGCCCACCCCGCCCAGGTCGGGGTTCCTCCTTTCCTCCCTCGAGCCCCGGAGGGCTGGACTGTTGTCGTGGCTCCGTGCGCCCACCCTGCCCGGACCCGGGTTCCTCCTTCCCTTCCTCGAGCCCTGGGGGGCTGGGCTATCGTCGTGGCCCCGCGCGCCTGCCCACCCTAGGACTGGACTGTCGTGGCTCCGTGCGCCCACCCTGTCTGGGCCCGGGTTCCTCCTTCCCTCCCTCGAGATCCCGGGGGCTGGGCTGTCGTCGTGGCTCCGCGCACCCACCCTAAGCGGGCTGCACCGTGTGTGGCCCGGGCGGGGTTTCCTTGCCTGCCTGCCGGGCGGCGGGGATGGGGGGCGGGTGGGCCCTCGGTCGCTGGGGGCGCCCCGAGCCATTCCCCCACACCCCAACCCCGCCTTCTCCGCCCCCCACTTGCGTGGCGACGTGGAGGGCCTGGCGCGGTCCCTGCTGCGCGTCCTGCCTCGGGGACAGCCCACGGATCCGTCTTGGGGAGTGGGGTCGGTGGGGTACGTAGGGGGTTGGGATCGGGCTTGATTTTCCTAACCTACGTTCCTGGTTCCTGGTTCAATAAATCTTAAGTTCTTCCTTTGGAAGAACTTTTTTTTTTTTTGATTCTTCGAACTCCGATACCACGGGCTTGAGTTCTTAGAATTCAGATGACCTACTTTTATGGAACAGCAGAGGCATAGCGGGCCCCACAGTTTGGCTCAGTGTCCATCCTTCATACCGGCACGTTTCGGAACAGTTGCGAAAGCCTTGCCGGGCCAAGGCCAGTGGAGGCGGTGGGGACGCAGGCCTCTGCTCCGTCCATCTTTCCTGTTAATGGTTAGGATCTTGCCAGACTCCGGGGACTCCTGCTGATCCTCCCCTGCTCCTCGTCCAGGCTCTTCCTCCCATCCGGAAAGGCTTCCTTCTGTTGCTCTTATCCCTGCTCGCAGGACTTCTTTGGGCTGTCAAGTCATGTCTCTGTCTGCAGAGTAGCTAAATAAACTCTTTCAGCAGGCACAGTAGAAGTCTGGAGAACAGAGGGGATTCAACCTTCTCCTGAAAGGTTCTTGCTGCCCAGAAGACATTTATAATGACTTGTTGCTGCCTATCAAATCTACTTTCCAGTTGCCTTTATTTTTTCCTTGCTAATGAAAAATGGTGAAACTAAGGATTTATTTTTTATAGTTTATAACCCATAGTTCCAGGTCTTTGGAATAGCACAGCAATAGGAATTTCATTGGTAGACCTTATGCTTGAATTCAGAAAGGAGAGGAAGATGAATTTGTCTTGAAAGGTTTGTTGTAGGGGGAGGGGTTGTTGCCCAGAGCGGTAAAGCACTTGCCTTGCAGACAGCCTACCTGGGTTTGATCCCGCAGCCTATATGATCCTCCGAGCCTTCCAGGAATGATCCCTGAGAGCACTGCTGGGTGTGGCCCCCAAAATATATATAATAAACAATATATATCTATATATACATACATATTTTTTTCATAGCATATTTCTTTATTTTACATGTATATTTTTTGCTGTGGGGGCCAGAACTGGCGGCCATGGAGACTGGTGCTCTGTGCCAGGGGCTTGCCTGTGTCCATGCTCTGGGGACCGTACAGTGCAGGAGATGGAATCCAGACCTCCTGTCTATGCAGAGCATGCACTTAGCCAAAGGAGCTGCCTCCCCAGCCCCTGGATACTACATAGTATATCTTAATATAATTATAATGAATCATTAATCAGAATACTATTACTGATTGATTGTGGTTTTGTAGACCTATACAGTGGTACATAGGGGCTGGAGCCATAGTACAGTGGGTAAGACATTTGCCTTGCACAGGGCCAACCTGGATTCAATCCCTGGCATCCCCTATGGTCTTCGAGCACTGCCAGGAGAATTCCTGAGCGCTGAGCCAGGAGTAACCCCTGAGCATCATGGGTTCAAAGACAATATGGGTTCAAAGGCGTGGTACAGAGACACAGAAATCAAAACAGAAATGTTTTCTCTTTATAATAGTTTATAACAGGAGTTTCCCAGAAGGCCCCAAGGAAGTTACATATGAAAGAAATTAAAAGTATTTTAATTTTGGAGCGATAGCACATCAGGTAGGGCATTTGCCTTGCATGTGACTGACCTGGGTTCGATTCCCAGAATCCCGTATGGTTCCCCGAGCACCTCCAGGAGTAATTCCTGAGTGCAAAGTGGAGTAACCCCAGCATCGCTGGGTGTGACCCAAAAAGCTAAAAAAGAAAAAGTATTTTAATTTTAATAAATTTAATACCTGGGGTAGCTGGCTGGCTGTTTTGATTTTTGTGTCTTTGTACCACGCCCAGCAGCTCCTACAGTGCTCATGACTAGGGGAAGATGTGGATTGAACTTGGGTTTCTTGCAGCCTGTTAAGTTCTCTGTGGCCCCAGAAAAAGTTTCCATTGAGAGCCCTATCTGCTGCACTATTACCCTGGCCCCAGTATGACTTATTTTAAGAAATAAATTATAGGGGCCAGAGAGATAGTACAGTGGATAGTGTACTTGCCTGGCAGGTAGACAAACTAGGATTCAATCTCTGGCATCCATTGTGGTTCCCTGAGCACCACCAGGAGTGACTCCTGAGTGTAGAGTCAGGAGTAACCCCTAAGTATTACCAGGTATGCCGTTGCTACCCACATCCCTCCAAATTATGATTTTACGCAGAGATGCAATATGGAAACAACTGTAATGGAGAAACCTTCAGTCAAAAGAGGGGCCCACAGGCCCAGTGATGTCTTATTCAGGATGGCATTGCATTTTTGTGTTGGACATGTCAGTCTGAATCTATTTCTCAAACTCTCAGAAAGGGAACTGTAAAAATTAAAAGCCAGGCATTGTCTGCTTTGTAAAGTCTCAGAATCAGAGAAGGCTGAATTAGATGTTCTCTGAGTGTGTCCCCCCCCCCCCCAAAGATGTTTTTACATCCCTGAGGCTCTGTGGTGGGGACTGTGAACCACTGGACACCAATGGGGAAGACAGTGGAGCCAGCAAGGCTGGGCAGTGCAGCCAGGGTTTTTAATTTGGAGGGGGGGGCGGCCACACCCAGTTGTGCTTAGGGCTTTATTAGCAGGGCTCAGGGGACCATATGTGGTGCCAGGGCTCGAGCCCAGTGTGTACAACATAAGCGCTGTACCCACTGTACTTGTTCCTTAGTTACGCGTTATACAGCTTTGTCACCAGTCAGATGTAAACTTAATTTTGTGATTGACTTCTGCAGAACAGAAGCATCACTGCCATCTACCCACCCTTCCCTGGGAGAAATACTTCCTTTGGGGACAGGGTGTGTGTGTGTGTGTGTGTGTGTGTGTGGTTGTTCAGGGGTTACTCCTGGGTGTGTGCGTGCGTGCGTGTGTGTGTGTGGTTGATCAGGGGTTACTCCTGGGTGTATGTGTGTGGTTGTTCAGGGGTTACTCCTGGCTCTGTGCTCAGGAATCACTCCTGGTGGTACTTGGGGAACCATATGGAATGCCAGGGATCAAACTCAGGTAGGCCCAGTGCAAGGCACAGGCCCTGTATATAGCCTTACCCGCTGTACAGAGGTGTCTTTGGCACCCAGAAATGCTTATCTGAGAATTTCTGGAAGATGCCAGTGTTGTTCTAAATGTGTGTTATTTAGTGTATCCTTAGCTTGCTCCTTTGCCCATGTTCTATTGCGTCTTCCTCCTTCTTTTTTTTTTTGCAGTCTGGGATAGATGCCATGCACTCTTGAGGTGCTTTCGCCTGGCAGTGCCCGGGACGAAGTCACCAGGGCCACATCCTGGTGCGAAGGTGGGCAGGGAACATTCAGTGTTAGATGCTACCCAAGCTGTGCCCCTTGTGCGCTGCCACTTGAGCAGCCGGCCCATCCCCCCTCCTCTCAGGTCTCCCCCCCCATCTTTTCACAAGCTTTCTGATATGTTGCTTTTCTGTTTGGACGTGGTTTTGATGGAGATCACGTGCTTGTCGCGTGACTGGAAATTGTGGGCATGCCTGGAGATGGTGCTCACACATTTGGAGGGCATGGGGGAGGTGGGTCTACACCTAGCTCTGCTTAGCCTGGTTCAGTGTTTTGGGTTTCTTCCTGGAGGTGCTTGGAGGTCTGAGCTGCTGGGGATCAAACCAGGGTTGGCTGCGCTAAGGTGTTGCTGCACTTTCTCTCTGGCCCAGTTGTTGTAACCTTTGAGGGAGTTTATTTTTGCTTAAAGAATTGACACTTTGGGAGTTCTGGTTTCTTACTGGGAAGCTGGAGTTTTTATCTGGGTATGTGTGATACACTATCTGCAACAAGCTGATACTATGTTTCTGTCCAGGGCCAGTGTTCTAAGATCCACATAGCACCCTGTTCAGACCAGCAATTGAATGTGCAATTCACCACTAATTCAGGTTTGTTAACTTTCAGGCTCTCAGAGTCAGAGTATGTGCCTTGCAGGTGTGAGCCCCTGGGTTTGATTCCCAGCTCCTCCCCACAC